GAAGAGCTCTTCCGGAAAAGCTTCTTCAGAAAGATGTCTGGAGTCTAGATATAGCCGGGGATGGTTCATAAGAATGGTCATACTGGGGCAGACCACTCATCCACCTAGCCCAGTAACCTGAATTTAAATAACTTTTCAGTAGACCAAAGTTGTTACTAGAGCAGGTCTGAATTTGGCTTGTCCCTGAGCCTTGGACTCATGTAATTGTTGGCAAAGAATGGGGTGAAAAGAAATGTTTCTTGGTTGATATATTTTCAAAATGGCATCTGTTTGAAGCTACTTTCAATTTTAAAACAAATCCATGGGAGATGGATTAATCAGCAGAGTGTAGATAAGGAAGGTGAAGTACATGGTCAGCTGATCATCATGTTACTCTCCAGTGGAATATGTGGAGAACATGCTACATGTGTTTCTTGGCTATGTATCCTACCATGTGTTTAAATAACATGCAGTTGTTTCAGTATTTCCATTTAGCAAAAAAGCTATTTTCTCTCTGTTGCTGTTTTAATTCTATTTCCTTCATGAAACAAGGGCTCAGTGTGTTGATACCTCAAATCTGTAAATTTCTCATAGCAGGGATCATGGACCAAATTATTCTGTGAGTTGCATCACTCAAATGCAGTGTAACTCCAAAATTTCACTGAATTTGCCATTACTCTGCATTTACATTAGTATACCTGAGATTAAAATTTGGCCTATGAATGCCAGGGGAAATCTTCACATGGATAAGAGCCACAGGATTGTCTGAGTTTCCTTGGCTCTGTCTAATCTGCAGTGTGATGATACTCATAATATGGCTGTGATCATATTAACACAATGTTCTCTTTTTTACTACTCTAGACTCAGAAATGAATTAGAAATTCAATTGTGGGTGAGCCAGTCTCCTGAGTGTAAAACTCGTAAGTAAAAATATATTGTGGGTTTACAGAATGGGTGTCTTGCAAAAAAACAAATCAAGTAAACCCTATGGCTGTGTCTACATTGGCACCCTTTTCCGGAAAAGGGATGCTAATGAGACACTTGAGAATTGCAAATGCCGCGGGGGATTTAAATATCCCCCGCGGCATTTGCATGAACATGGCTGCCGCTTTTTTCTGGCTCGGGGCCTTGCCGGAGAAAAGCGCCAGTCTAGACGGGATCTTTCGGAAAATAAAGCCCTTTCCGGAAGATCCCTTATTCCTCTTAAATTCAGGAATAAGGGATCTTCCGGAAAAGGCTTTATTTTCCGAAAGATCCCATCTAGACTGGCGCTTTTCTCCGGCAAAACCCCGAGCCGGAAAAAAGCAGCAGCCATGTTCATGCAAATGCCACAGGGGATATTTAAATCCCCCGCGGCATTTGCAATTCCGAAGTGTCTCATTAGCATCCCTTTTCCGGAAAAGGGTGCCAATGTAGACACAGCCTATATGTTGTGAATCAGGGTACTGAAACACTTAGGCTACGTCTACACTGCAGGCTTTTTGTGCAAGAACAAAATTTACAGTAAAGCATCGGAACAGGGCTTCTTGCACAAGAGTTATTCCTCTCCTCATGAGGAATAAGCCCTTTTGCGCAAGAGCTCTTGCACAAGAAGGCAGTGTGGATGGGCAACAGGGGTTACTTGTGCAAGAAACCCCTATGGCTAAAATGGCTGTCAGAGCTTTCTTGCGCAAGAGAGTGTCCACGCTGCCATGGACGCTCTTGTGCAAAAGCACATCTCTTGTGCAAAAGCACATGGCAGTGTGGAAGCGCTCTTGTTCAAGACCTTTTGTGCAAGAACTCTTGCGCAAAACAGTTCTTGCGCAAGAAGCCTATAGTGTAGACATAGCCTTAAAGCATGAACAGCTTCTGATGAAAAGCAAAGAAATATATCTCAGGGGTGCTGAACATCTTGCATGATAAGGCAACATAATATTTTTCTTACCTTTCTCTCATTCCTGGCCTGTTCTAAAGCCCACTGAAATTAACAGAAGAATTTGAATTCATTAAGGAAATATGGGGCATGCCATACCAGAGAAGATCCCTGGGTTATCTAGTATCATATAGTCAGCAGATGTGAAATAATCTGACTCTTCATGAAGATGTGAAGTAATCTGACTCTCGTTGTGATCTCTGAGTCAGAGAGCAGCTTAAGTTGTGGAGCATATGAGCTTTCGTAGTCCTTTCAACAACTCTTTTATTATAAGATACTATAACTCTGGGTAATCTTGTTATTCAATGTAAATGTATGATCTCTTTTAAATTATCTGCCTCAACTACATCCAACGGGAGCGAGTTCCACAATCTAATTGTCTGCTGCATGAATAATTATCTCCTTTGATGAGTTTTGAATTTGTCTTCGATGGGCATTGGATAAGGGTCTTTCATTTGATTAAGTAAAGCAAAGAGCATGTAAAGCTGGAAGCTCATGAAAGGGCAAAAAGGGAAGAGACTTTGTTTTCTGATGAACTGGGCCATTTTCGAAATTCTGTAAAATGTCATCGGGCTAGAATACAGTGTGCCAAATCTGACTGCATAGTTCATCTATATTTCATGCATCTGTTAAATTTCTGTGTGTATAGCAGATGCAAAACATGGCTTCTTCACATAGTCTGTGTTCATATGAAACTGTAAGCTTCTACACTGTAAATAGAATAAATAGCCACATGAGTTGTTAGACTACGATGTTTTCTGTCTGGCTCTGATAGCTGCTCCACGCATATGTTAAATGGCAGATTCTTAAAGGGAAGGTGTGACTCTGTTTTGGCCCATACTCGCTGTCTTAATTAAATATAGCATCATACCTAAGGCTGCAGGTGATCTGTTATCAGCACCATATTTTGGGCACTACCGTCAATATCTTACTCATTATTCTGAATGCATATTGTGTATGAAAAATGCTGCATCATCAAACCAACGTCTACCTTTTTGTCACTTGGGAAATGTGCTGGACCAAATTCCTCCCTGATGTCACTCCATACACTTAGATGGACTTAGTAAGGTTTGCATTTACCTTGGTATGCTTTATTCTGCAGATGGCTTAGGCTTTGAATTTCAAAGCTTTACAGCTGTCCCTATTAGAAATTAACATTGGCTTTAGCAGATCTCTTATAAAACTAATGAATTTGAAGTTTCTATTCCAAGATATTTCTGAGATGGCTGTGCATGAAATAAGTTTGACATTTTATGAATTGTGCAAAACATTTCCTTTTTCAAAGTCTTGCATCTCAAAAATTCTGGACCAATTAATCTCAAGCTCCCCTCCCCAGCATTTTCAATTTATTAGACAACTATATGTGGGAAACTTCAGATGAAAAAGAATTACAAAGAATAAAATCATACTATGCTTAAAAATCCAAAGTGCTAGCCAATATACAAGTACATAGTAAGAGACAGTCCTTGTTCTAAATCTTCAGAGGGGTAGCCGAGTTAGTCTGTAACTGGAAAAACTTAAAAAGCAACGAATAGTCTAGCAGCACCTTAAAGACTAACAAACATGTAGATGGTATCATGAGCTTTTGTTAGTATAAGTGGGGTGTACCCACGAAACTCGTGATACCATCTACATGTTTTGTTAATCTTTAAGGTGCTGCTAGACTATTAGTTGTTTTTTAAGTCCTTGTTCTGTAAGCCTATAGTCTAAAAAGACGAGTCAAATATAGGAAATATTTATTTATTTATTATTATTCCTATTTTACAGATGGAAAAATGAAGCACAGAAAGATTAAGATTTCTGGCAAAAGTCACACAGGAAGTCTGCGGCATAGGCAAGAACAGAGCACAGGTCTCCGGAATGTAGAACCTTAGGCCCAATGATAATGTTTAATAGTTCATACCTTCAAAACTTTTACAAACAGTACAAATTATGAATAGTGATAGAAATGCAGCCGTGTTAGTCTGGGGTAGCTGAAGCAAAATGCAGGACAATGTAGCACTTTAAAGACTAACAAGATGGTTTATTAGATGATGAGCTTTCGTGGGCCAGACCCACTTCCTCAGATCAAATAGTGGAATATTTGTACAAATTATGGCATTTTTTTTAGCAAATCCCTTCTAAAAACTTGTGTCTGCTGTGAAGATTACCTATAGTACAGGCAGTCCCCGACTTACGTGGATCCGACTTACGTCGGATCCCTAGATACGAACGGGGTGAGGCAACTCCCGCACATGCACAGCAGCATTCCTGGGGCTCGCTCACCTGGGTCCTAGGATCCTCCTCCTCCTCGGGCCGGCTCCGACTGGGGTCCCGCAGAGCTGCCGGGCAGAGGAAAAGTGCCTCCCCACGCCCGCTGCCCCCCCCACCCCCCTGCCAGCAACAGGCTGTCCCCTCCCCTGAGCAACAGGCTGCGGAACAGACAAAAGCAGCCTCTCTGCCCCTCCTCCCCTCTATACATGCCGGGCTCCCGGCGCAGCAGCGTCCCCGGGGCTCGCCCACCCGG